TGTCCCCTCTCAATATTTCAAATGTGAGTTTGTCTTACTAATGAGTGTCAAAGCAAATACGCACTGTAAGGAACTAAAGCAACAGGGAAAGTAGCATCCTTTTTGCTCATGAATTTCAAATAATCTTACAAAACAGATCTATAAATGTGCTTAGCCGCCAGCTGATGCATTTGGAAGCCAAAACTGAACCACTGACGAAGCAGAGAGACTTCCTCGGTGGCGGCATTCTCCACTTGATATTGCAGGACTCAGCTTTTTTTTTTCCTGTAGCCTTGAAAGACAATGTTCTAGCACTGCTGTGACTAATCTCGGAGGCTATCAAGTCAGAACTAGGAGTTTATTGCTCTTGCCTTGTGAGGTGGCATTATAAAGCCAACCCACAAGCCGGAGTGCTAAGCTGGAGAGGCCATCAGTTAATGTTGGCCTTACATTCAGTGAAGCTAACCGCTGCTTGAAAGAGTGCAAACCCTGCTTTAAATCAGCTTGCTCCCTTTACAGATTTACCCATGGTTTAACAGCAAGAGGAGCCTAGCTACTACATGCTGAATGAATGATTAGCTCTTGTAGCCTTGACACATACCTAATCTCAGTGTCCAGATAATGAAATTCAGCCATCTAACAGCATCCCTGTTAGCAGACCTTTGTCATATTCTAGCGCTACACAGCGGAACCACACAACATTACTGAAGGAACATAACCTCCCAAGATATTTCTTTTTCCTGTAATTAAATGGAATTGACAGGGCTTCTCTCCCTCATGCTTGCCCAGACAGACGTTCTACCAAACTACCTTCTAAAAAAAGAGTTAAATTAGTAATTCTAGAATTACAATTGTAATTCTAGTTAAAGAGCTCATACAGCTAAAATATCTGAGGTACCTTCTACCATCAAAGTATTGTTGTCACAAAAGCCAACAGAACCTAGCCCCTACTTTCTGGAGTCCTGTTTTCCAGGTCAGTTCCTAAAAAAATTTCTGATTATGAAATTTTTTTTAAATAATTCATGTCCAACACTATTTTGAGTATTTACCAGCTATGCAATGCAGTACTTGAGCAAATAGCTTGATAACAACAAACATTATGTTGCTGAAAGCAAAGCCAAGAAAGTTTGTTAACTTTTCATCTCGACGACTTAAAAGTGAACTTAAGAAACATAGTATGAATTTCCTAACATCTATAAACAACACATTTGCTGACTAGCAGCCCTAGATTGTGGTTCACTGATTTAAGTTTCTTGGCTTAAATGCATTTTCTTGATCGGTGCTGGAGAATCTTTAATTTCCTAGTTTGAAATTAAAACTCAAAAGTTGGAGTTGCCGCCTCTCGCATAAGCCAACAGAGTGCCAGGAAAAAAAAAAACAACACTTATTTAGCACAATGGAAATTAAATGCAGGGAAACAAAAATTGTCTACGTTATCTAAAACAGAAAAGGCAGTTTTCCAAGTTACTTTGACATCAGTATCACATGACCAATACGTGCACAGGTAATAGAAAGAAAACAAATACAGAAAGAGAAGCTTGGAATTGGAAGATTAACATTGAAAAAAATGCAAAGGGAGAACTGGAGCAAAGGAAAGAAAATATTTAGTAAAAAATAAAACAATAAAAAGTACATAAGCTTTTGAACAGCCATGTTGAATCACATTATAATAGGGCCTGAGAAATGCGGTTTGATTATGGAATCTATTAGAAAGTAAATTTTGCGGTAAGAGAAAGGCAGGAGACTAATAGGACCTGCTTGGAGGTAAAATGTCTTTGGGGAAAAAGGCAGAAGGACAGATCCCAGCCAAAAGACAAAAAAAATTTCTCAGAAGGATCTCGAGGATACTGCCACAATTACCATTTTACCAATTATAATCAGGCCATTTCAGAAGAATGATATTATTGGAAAGAAAACCCTCTTTAACCCAACCTGGTACGACAGAGCAGGGAGGGAGGTCTCTAACCTCATGAAAATCACCAAGATTTCAGAAATGATAGATTGCAAGGAGACCTCAGCCACTTCCCGATTCTTCTTCCTGGCAATTACCACAGCAGTACTGCAGGCTCTGCTAGGTCCGCCTTCCCGCTGGCCTTCTGGCCGAAGTACACAGAAAAAGGCACTGCAGTGCATCTGTACCATTTGTACTACTTCATTCTGGTATCGCCTTACACGATAGCTTTGTGTAAACAGAGCTTTGCAGTTTGGGGCTCTTCTTCCTTTCTTCGTCAATTAACCCCAAACAATTACTGTATTTTTGCTGCCACCAGAAATTGTTAAGACTCTCTCTTAAAACTTGTCTCTTACCTTGAAAGAACTGCTGCAAGGCCTCATTTTCTCCCACCACATCCATGAAAAGCCAGAAGTGTTTGCCTTTCCTACTGCTTGAAGAGTCCCACTGAGAAAAATGCACCGTCCCTCTTCCAGATGATTACGAACGTGCCAAGGAACACATCATGTTTTTGTCAGAGGTTTCAATGACTGTCCCAGCTGATTTTATTCCTTCATAACTAGAGCCAGGGCTATACTTAAACTCTGCTACACGTAAAGCAGAACCTGACAAGGCTTTTGAGGCAAGATGAAGGTGATATGCGTTCTTCTGTTCAGTATGGCTAATGTTCTTGTTTTAAGGACCTTTGGTCCCAGTACTAACCATAATTACACATGCGCAAAAAAGTGCGGCAATAAAAATTACTTATCTTGTCTCTGTACTTTCACTCAGGTGATATAATTAATACTACTGATGAACGTAATCAAACATGCAAGAGCAAAGCCATCACTGTTTTCACTGTATGTACTATCCCATTTAAGCAGCTGAGCATCAGACTATCCAACTACTACAAAAAACCTACATCTCACAGCAGTTTGATTATAGGGAAGCAGAACTTCTACATTATTATTATTAACAAAACTAAATTACAGATTAACCTGTTTGTCTAAGGTAACATTGAAAAACATATGGGAAAGCTGAACATTGAACAAAGGTCTTTTAAGGCTAGTAGCAAATCCTTTTTCACTTTAAATTGATCTTTGTACACTGAAAGTTGCCCCTGTTCTGTCACCTCTAAGCAAACAGGAGAAAATTATTCAGAGATTTTGAGTGGGCATCTGCAAGAAGCATTTGATTGTGAACAAAAGCTTCAGTGAAATCATGAAGTCTGGAATGAGGCCATTTTCTGAAGTAGTTACATTCATTAGACAAGTGACTGTTGCGCAATTTTTACAAGCCCCAGACACTCACAGTGACACAGGTTCCTCATGATAGGCAGCTTATATTAAAAATATAGAAAAGAATTTCAGGGAAGGGACTTGAAGACAGAAGCAAGCCAATCAGTATCTACAAGATGTAGATAGTATCTACAAGCCAGTCATCACCACCAAGATACACTGGGTCCATCTTTGTAGTCCCTAGTATGAGAAAATCACCTCAGCATAATAAACTTTAGATACCATTTATGCCTTGATACGATGATGTATAGAAAACGACCCCTGCTCTCTGCTTGAATGAGCAATACGTGTAAAGGATTATTAAGTCAGAATAGCAGTAGCTACCAGCTATCATTTAACTACTGTTAGCTACTGCTGGAAACAGTTTGATTTCATTGTGTAAACTAAGGATTAACAATCATTTAGGAAGCATTTATGAGCCTAACACAAAACATAATACCAACAAATACAGTTTGTTTTCTAAGAGTGAGTAAAACCAGACTTCCTTAGCATTACTGAAATAATAAACAACCTTTTAACAATTGAAGGTAGAATTCTTCCAGGTTTCTACGGTAGGAACTAGTACCCAGTGACAGGAGGCTGATAAAAATGTTTCATCAGTACTAAAACAGCCCAGGCTGGACATACATATTTTACTAGTAGTGGAGTAAGTTCAATTGTTTGTTTTAATGTTAACATTGAAATGCTTGGTCAAAGACAAGGCTTGCAGTGTTTTCAGGCACATGTACATGCAAGCAACACAAGTATGGTATCAAATCTCACTGCTCATGCTATTTACTTTTGTAAAAACAGAGAACACTCCAGTAAGACAGTGACAAATAGTGTTATTTTTGTTCTGCATCAAACAAAAGAAACCTGTATCCACTGAGATGCTTCTTGTTAAAGAACCAACTATATAAACTTCCCTTTATTTCTAATGTTTGTCAGTTTACCTGCCAATGCTTTAATCTTATCTGTAATTGATAAATGGCTGTCACGATCAAGACCTAGTTTTTCCAAAAGGGCTTTTACATAGCAAGCCTACCACATACCCACAACTATGTTCCTTGTAACCGAATAACTGCGTTCAGCTCAGACTATGCCCAGAGAAAAACCTGAAGTGCCAAAGTAGCACTTGAACAGAAAGAGCATCTTCCTTAAGAAGCCATGATCCTTTTTTGGGTTCTCTTTGTAGCAAATTGTGTGTGTGAAGAAACTGCTAACATTACATGGAAATTACCATCAGCATGTTAAAGAAATCACGTAATGGATGTTTTTCAATTTCAAGGGCAGCTGTGGGAAATTGATGTACAAAACACCGGAAATCCCAAAAAAGCAGAAGGGAAAAAAAAAAATCATTTAAAGGAATGAAAAAATTCCAATGAAAGAAAATTAGAGGGGACGAGAAAGTTTTTAGCAGTCAGATAGGAATCGGGACAGATTTCTAACCAAAGAGTGACCAAGGTAATTTTATTGTTCCTTGATGTTTGAAAAGCACCCTACTTTAGAGAGAAGATACCCAGATTTATTATGCTGTTGACTCTTCACCATATATGTTTCTCTTCTTACATTGTTTTAAAAATGAAAAATATAGGAAAGCAGCACTTCAAAGAATTCCAAGTTCTCCTAGTCGTCTGTTAACTGTATTGGCATACGTGCATAGAGAGATACATACACGTACCTAAAACACTACAATGAAGAAAATGTCAGGCATTTATTCCCTCTTCATAAAATCATCTCAGTTTTACATTTTGGAATGACTTACCAGGGAGGTTCACACCATTCTGCATCACAAAGAACAGAAGACAGACACGGCTTCAGACTAACACTTTAATCAGAAGTTTTGTTTTTAAATGTAAATTACAATCACTAATACACCTGCAAGTGCTTACCACATTTGTTCAACTAAGTATTATATGTACGCATATACAGCATAAGTCAGTTTAAAACAATCACAGTACTTCTTAGTGCAATCTGCAAAAGGAGAAAGATCTTGGACCCACTTTGTGGAAATAAATATCAAGTGACAAAAAAAGATTCAGCAATTGTAGTTATTCAATGAAGTTCATGCATGCGCAAGAGTAAAAAGATTTAGAGCTCTTCCTTGTAATAGCCAAGTTTTGCTAGTGACATCTCTCTTCTCAGCTGCATAACTTCCCAGAACATCTGTTCCGCTAAAAAAAAAAAAGACAGAAATATCATTAAACATACTGAATTCATATTTTACTTCAACTGATGTATACAGGCTGCCTCACTGTACGTCAGTTTAGGGGAACTTTAGAAGTAATAAACATGTAGTAAAACCAGAATTAATATGTGTGAGAGCTGTTTGTGCTTGGTTGTGGCAAAATTTGTTAAAGTATTTATTTTAAAAATTCTAAATGATGGTACTATAAAAAATTCCCCAAGTTTTAGATGATTTCTTTTTAAATGCCTGACTAACCTAGTGGCCTTCTATGATGGAGTCACTACATCAGTGGACATGGGAAGGGCTACAGATGTCGTCTATCTGGACCTCTGTAAGGCCTTTGACACGGTCCCCCGCAACATCCTTCTCTCTAAACTGGAGAGGTATGGATTTGATGGGTGGACTGTCCGGTGGGTGAGGAATTGGTTGGATGGTCGCATCCAGAAGGTAGTGGTCAATGGCTCAATGTCCAGAGGGAGATCAGTGACGAGTGGCGTCCTGCAGGGGTCCGTATTGGGACCGGTACTGTTCAGTATCTTCATCAGTGACATAGACAGTGGGATCGAGTTTGCAGATGACACCAAGCTGAGTGGTGCAGTCGACATGCCAGAGGGACGGGATGCCATCCAGAGGGA